GAAGTATGTTTTTTGCACTGCTTTATTCATCAGTCAGAAAAGGGGAAATGGCATGGAAAAATAAAGAAAAATACCAATAATAATATATTTTTATGTTTTGTGAAGGAAAAAGGAATAAAAAAGGAAAAATCTATATGAAAGGTTTGGACTATTTGGGCTATCCATACTTAAAAATTTTGTGTGTGTGATGTTCTTGTTTTTCCACATGTTGCAACTTAAATATTCCCTTTTAGAGTTTTTTGGTAGGATAAATACAACGTATGACAGAAGCAATATTAAACTTCAATAAAGGCTTTTAAAAAATCTGAAAGCAGTAAGTATTTATAAGTCTTTGAATGAAGAGGATGGAATAAAAGACATTTAACAGATTAAAATAATAAATGACTGACTACTGCCTATCTCGCTCTTTTTTTTAAGAGTTAAGAAGGTAAAGATGTGACCATTAGTTATAATTTAAACTGCTGCTTTTTCCTATATCAATCAGATTGAGTCATTCCAGTTATTCACAGGCACTTGTATCCTAACACTAAATCTGTATTACTGAATTTATAAGGTTTGCTTAATGGCAAATATGTTAATGATCCAGGCAAAAAATCAGTTGCATATTTATATGCAAAAGGCATTTGAGATTTTAGTATAGGACCAAATGGAAATATAGATCTTATTACCTTGTTTTCAGTGTTCTGTATTCAAAGGGACCACTGCTGTAAACAATCATTCATGACTATTTCCTCTGTGCAGTTAATTTGCACTGTGTTGGCACGGCAGGTTTTTTGTATTTGTTTAGGACAAGTAGACATGAGCAAGTCAAGAATAAATAATATGTAGTAAAATCAATAAACCTTATTATTAGTCACTAAGGGGACTGATTTTTATGTCCATAAAAATAAAACAATTATAGCAGTATTAATGGTAGCTTCATCATAACAATATAATGGAGCCAAATATGCTTGTCCTTCGGGAAGGTTTAATTTTCCATTCAGTAGCAGCTATATGCTCAGCCAGAAAAACAGCACACCCATTATAAATAACCCCTGACCTTTGGCAATTCATGTTGTCAACAGAGACAATATTATAGTACTAAGGTGGTGGAGAGCCAACAAAAACATTTGCCAGCTAGTCTCAAATGTAGTCAAAAGCCAACCATCTTATACTTTTGGTTATGTAATAAGCTGCCTTTGTATTTACCAGTTAATCTTCAGTTTATTTTAGCAGAAAAGCAGAACATGGTGCAACAAACTGTTTACAAGTGCATGTACTCCTGAATAACTAGGAATTACTGAAATGTCAGCTATAGAGTACATATACAGTCAATGATAGTGCTCCTGTTAGTAGCTTGAGATTACGGCTGTTTCCCAGTAATCAGTTTTCTATTTTTTTTTCCTTCTAAATAAGACATAGCTTTCAGATGCACAATTTATTCAGTTGATATAGATGATATAGATATATAGATATTCAGTCAGCAGACTTTCCTTCATTTTATAGATCTTGAACAATTAAAGGTTGTTCCATTCAAATACAAAAACTTAGCAATCATTAAACATTGCAAATTCATTTTGTCTCCTTTAACAAAGAAAACATAAATATATGAACTTACCAGAGAAATGATAATACATGTTTTTCAAATACATCAAAATGCATCATGAGAACTGACATAAACACTGGTGGTTTTTAAAGCAATAATCAAGAGGGTGTGATATTTTCCCACAAGTAGTAAACAAACATTTTTAAGCACCTACTAAGTGCCAGGCACTGTACTAAGCCTGGGGATACAAAGAAAAGTCTCTGCTCCTCATGAAACTCACAGTCTAATGGGAAGATAATATGAAAAAACTATGTACAAACATATCCTGGATAAATTGGAGATAATCTTGGAGGGAAAGCACTAGCATTAAGGGGAATGAGGAAAGGCTCCTTCAAATAGGTGAGACTTTAATCGAGCAAAGCAAGTAAGGAAGAGGAGATGAGGAGAGTGGGCATGAATTCAAGGGATGAGGGATAGCCAGTGAAAATGCCCAACTTTGGTGGAAGGGTTGTTTTACTGGAGACCAGTGTCATTGGATTTTAAAATATGTGGAGGGGGTTAAAGTGTAAGAAAAGTGGAAATACAGGAAGGGGGCAAATTATGATGGGCTTCAGAAGCCAAACAGAGGAGTTTATATTTGATCCTGGAGGTAATAGAGAGTCACAGAAATTTAGTGAATAATGACACAGTCCACATCACTCCTATGGACGGCAGTGCTAGTTTACTATATACAGGAAAGCATGGTGAAATTGCAAAAGAAAGAACAAAAGTTACATAAGAGAGCTAATGAAGAGCACATATCAAAAGAAATGGCCCTTTAAAACCCAGTCTTTCTCAAACAATTTGGCAGCTTCGCTATTGCTTTCCCATTGCTATTTTATATCTTTTACAAAGCAAGTATAAAAGGAGTGTCTCACAGCCCCAATCCTAATTAATGTAACAAATGTCCCTTTGAGTTACAGAATCAATCCATAGATCAAATGTGTTAACTAGGTGTGAACAATACCTGGACACCTCTATAGAATCAATCAATCAAACACATAAACTGGGTGTAAACAACCTAGTGAATAAAGTTGAAAATAAGCAAAGTGTTTTGAGTCTTTGGATGAAATCAGATTACTGAAATGTATTTGGTATTACTTGTGCTAAGGAAGAGTCTGACTCAGACTACCACCCTGAAGTTGAGATGAAATAAAGCACACTCATAGCTCATTCAACAGTTAACAAAAGGAGATTTACTTAGCCTTAACATAGAAAGGATACTCCAGCTTGGGGAATCTGGTCAGTAGGACAGAGTGTGGTGACCTGCTCAAATTCATTGTCTGCTAATTTTGAAGGGCCCCAACTCCACAGTGGGTGAGCCTTTATAAGTCCATAGGTAACCAAGAAGCCATGTTAATATGACCAAGCTACAAGGAAGCCACAGTTTGAACTCCCCTCTCCAATAAATCAAGTCCAGGGGAAAGATGCCACCTTTCAGGGTAAAACTAGCTAATTCCATCTCATGAGGGAAGGAGGGAACCCTGATAGATAATTGGTTCTATCACAAGTTGAAAGTAGACACACTTATCGGTCTATATATATCAAAGAAGGAAGTTCTGGAGGGGATATTTCTAGTAACTGCTTTGTGAGTTAAGTTTTGCGAAGGCTTTGAAGAGGCAGATCCCTTGCATCTGCTGCAGCAGGCAACAAAGTGAGGGGGAGGCGCCAGGAGAGAAGAAGGAGTGTCACACTTCGCCCCACCTTGATTGGAAGAAAACTTTGTAGCCTTCAAAAGGTCAGAATATTTGGACTTCCCAGTAGCAAATGTAGAAATGTCCCTGGAACAGCAGCAACTGATAGCAAAGTTTGCTTCAGAAGCTGAGGACAAAATGGATACCTCAAGAACAACTTCATGAGGACTATAAGAAGGGAGAAAAAGACTTCTATCGAACCAGGAGCTGTGAATTATGCCTGTGCCATATATGTTCCCTAAGTTTGAGTCCACTTTCCCCTGGACTTTGTATGTATTTGTGGGAGAGTAGGTCACACACTTTTGGGGGAAATATTTTCAACACTTATTCTTGCTATACTACCTTAGTAGACACCACTAAGAGATAATTAAGTCTAGCTGGCTAATTGATATAAACTGGATAAGAAAAGGAAAACAAACCTATGGTGACTTGTGAGTGAGAGTATTTGAAAAATACTCCCAAACCTTCAGGGTTACCCTCAGAATACTGAGAGTAGTAACTGCCTTTTAAGGACCCAACTCACCAGTTCAAGAGAAAGTTGGGAAAGTAGCCCCAACAGGGGTGCTACCCTGAGTGATACTGGAAATGTTTCTTAACCTTCAGCTTTAATACATGTGACCTGTAAACATGGAATGTTAAGTATATGAAGAAGTAGAAAACAACTAAAGGAAAATCCTAGCACCTTAACACACACACACACACACACACACACACGCACACACACACACACACACCGAAAACAAAAACAAAAACAAAAAGACACTTTGCATTACAACTTTCCCTGGAAACTGAGTAGTGCAAATGTCTAAAAGCATTTGCAGTCATTCATACAGAAGAATTAAAGAACTTTACAATTAGAATGAATCTGAGAGACAACCTCACTCACGCCCTTATTTGACAGATGAGGAAAAAGAGGTACAGAATACTTAAATTACTTGTTCAAGAGTCACATACCTTGTTAATCACAGAAATTGATTTAGGTCTTTTGAATCCTGGTACTCTTTCCACTAGATAATGTTACCACTCCAGCATGTTACTATTACAAAAGTGTATTTAACTTAGATGAAATTTCAGAATCAAATCAGCACTTTAACAGTTAAAAATAATATTCTTTAATAATTTTTTTCTAGAAATGTTGGCAATTCCCCACACCCTTAGGGAATGGAATTTTGCTATGTATAGAAAGCTTCTTTATATTACAACAAATCCAATTCACCTTTTATAAATAAATTATATGACTGCCTTTTAAAAACTAGCTACATATTATCAAAACATCTATTTACTAGTTTAAAAATACCTTTTAAAACAATAGTTTAGTGATAGATAAACATAAATAGGTTAGTGAATGGATATTTCAATTTTGAATCAGCTATTTCTGATGTCATATACACATAGCCTAAAAAGTATCACTAGGTGTCTTCCAAATTATAGAGAATTCCTTATTTGAATACATAGGTTTCAAACTGTTTTGCAATATAATTATATATTGTGCACCATATTAATCATCCAGTAAGCATTTTTCTAGAGCGAGATATGAGATATAATGTAAAGTAATTGATGTACATAAGCTTAAGAGATTCCTTTGAAATTCTGGTATATGATGTCCACCAGGAATATAACAAGACACAAAAGCATTTAAAAAAAACAACTTTTTTTTTAATTCTGATTGCCAAATTATTTAAGGCATGTATAAAAAAAGCATTCAATATACATTTTACACAAAATAAACTAAATTACAGCATAAAACAGGTAACCAGGCAATGGTATTAAAGTCTCTTTTCTAAAACTGGATAATTGTAAACATTAAAAAAAAAGACTGTGGGACTATTCAAGTAATAGAACAATCACAGATGTCTTCTGATATGCAGGCTATTGGGTTATTTGCCATTCAATATTTTTAAATGGATGTTTCATTATTCCTAGATGCTCATTATTTCCCCATTTAAAATCTATACATTATGTACAACACAGTTTTTGTGGTACTGGCAACCCCATGCCTTCCAAAAGTATATTTTCCACCATACACAATTACAATGAAACAGTGAATACAGTAACATTTCACACTGATGCATCTTAACAGGAGCCACCAAATAGACATCTAAATTGTATGAAAGTGTCATCATCACAGTTAGTCCTTCTGAGAGGCTTGTGGAAATATCTTAAGGGTATGCAAGGTTCAGGCACACTGATACATAACATTATTTATAATTTAAAAGCAAAAGGAAAAGAAAACAAATAGCCTTTTGTGGCTAATACATTTCAACATGACAAAATCACTTTTTTCCTTTATTGTGTGGCTTGCAACTTGGCAGCAGACCCTGTGTATTTGAGCCTGGTTACTGATATAAAAAGTAAAGAATATACATATATAACACATATATATGTATGTATATATATATAAAAAGAAGTTTAATTACAGCGACATTTGTTACTCTGTGATAAAATCTGCAATTTACAAAAATGAAATGACTGCTTTTTGCCTGCCATTAAGGCATTTCAAATTAACACCATGGAACTGATGTCTGTAATAAAGCGCTTCCCCATGTGATCCAATCACATGACAGTGTACATTTCCAATCTCTTCACTCTCTGCAAAAGAAAACAAGGAACCTTAAGAAAATTCTTTTTTCATGATTAACATTGAAAACTATGAAACTGAAGAGCTTGCTTTATTGTATTAATTCTCTGGATTACTCCAAGATAATATTTGAAATAAAAAAGGAAAATATAAAGTTTGTCACGATATGTAATGTGAAATTCAATCATTTTATTTTTAACCTGTGGTTGAATGAAACTAAAAATATATTTAGATTTATATTTTTCTTTAGCATTATCAATATACATCTCCTGTTTTTACAACTTTAATGTTAAAACTAGATTAAGCAATGGGAGTCAGAAGACTAAGAATGTTAGGAAAACTCCTGGTACAAAGATATGCATGTTCTAAATAAGGAATATAAATGCCACACAATTAACATAACAAAGTAAAAAAATAAAAATTGCAGTTTGGAAGGAACCTGGCTTTCAAGCTTAAAAATGCCTATCATTAGCTTTCTTTCAACCCTGTTAATATGTCTCTTTCTTTAAAAGTAATTCAAAACTCACAGGATATTTACCTTCTCTGTGCAGGAAACATACCAGATGCAGAAGCTTGAGCAGCCACCTGCTGAGTAGCCACAAGGGCAGCAGAGGTTAACCCTAATTGACAAAAAAGAAAAAGAGGTCCTGTTTCTGTGGCCTTTGGAAAGACAATCTAGGTACAGATTTTCATGCTGAATCTCTGTAGAATCCACAGTCACTTTGCCCTTTCCTAAACAAATGCATAAAACATCACATACAACAAAGACAAAGAACAAGATGTCTAGTCTGACTAATATCTCTTTACTAGATATACTGAGTTTTCCTTCCTTACTAGCCAGTTTAACAGAATCTAGCATTCCATCTCATGTTCCTTTCTGCGTCCTGACACTGTATAGTGCTAAAAGGCTTGCATACATTATAGAATACAAAACTCGGTAGCAATAAAAGGTATCAGATAACAAAAGGAAACAAAAGCCACATTGTAGTACAGAACCAACATAGTCATCTAACTTCTCCCAATGATGAAGAATAATACATTCTATAAGGAACATGGAATCACTAAATCATATTTAGAAAGAGTAACAACTTTTGTCTGAAAAAGGTAGATTTCTCACAAGCTCTTTCCTAAGTGAAACTAAAGTGCTAATCTAGGAGGAAATATTTTAATTCTGTCAGAACATGAGATTACACACACACAAAAAGTGACCAAACTGGACAGAAAAGACAGAAAAAATTAATTTATCTTTTATATGTCTTTTATTTTTGTATACTTTCTTCTTATGAATATGGGCTATTTTAGAAATTACAGATGTATCATCCTTGATATAGACAAAGAAGGTGATCTGCTTGAGTTAGATTGAGTAGTTATAAAACAGAAGCTGCATAAATAAGGATAATCCCTTACATTTGTATAAAGCCTTCCCATGTCAAAAAAAAAAAAGAGTATTTTCTTGAGATAATAAATACTTCCCAACACCCAAACTCCCAACAAAGTATATTCCTCCAAAATGGTTAAGTAAAACCATATAATAGAGCAGGGGTTCTTAACTTTTGTATGTGTGTCATGGACCACTTCTTGGTTCATGGACCCCTTCTCAGAATAGTGGAGTTTTTAAAAGTCGTAATTGAAGGAAATGCTAAAAATCAATTAAAAGTTAGTGAAAATAAACATGTATTTTCCCCATCTAAGTTCATGGATTATTATGTATTCCAGGGTTTTGTTGTTGTTCAGTCATTTTTTAGTTAACTCCAAGGCTCTGGGGTTTTCTTGGCAAAGATACTGGAGTGGTTTGGCATTTCCTTTTCCAGCTTACTTTATAGATGAGGAACTGAGGCGAACAGGATTAAGTGATTTGCCCAGGGTCATACTGCTAGAAAGTGAATGAGGACAGATTTGAACTCATGAAGATGTCTTCCCAGCACACTATCCATTGCCCAACCCAGCTGTCCCTGGGCAAAAATCCTTATAATATGACTGAGACTCATAAGTTACTTTTTCTCCCCTTATAGTTTACCTAACATTAACAGAAAAGGCCAGTAGGGAGGACATCCCAGGCATAGGAGAGAGACAGTGAGAATGCAGAGTCAGGGACTGATTATCTGTTAGAGGAATAACAAAAAGGCCACTGTCACTGGATTGTAGATTATATGGAGAGGAGTAAGGTATGAGAAAACTGAAAAGGTAGGAAGGAGACAGATTAGAAGAGCTTTAAAGTCAAACAGAGGATTTTATATTTGATCCTGGAGGTAATAGGGACCCCCTGGAGTTGATTGAATAGAGGAGTGACATGACTGGATGTGCACTTTGGAAAGATCACCATAGCAGCTGAATAGGGCATGGATTGGAGTGGGGAGAAACGAGTCAGAAAGACCAATCAGAAGGCTATTGCAATAGTCTAGGAATGAGGGGATGAAGGCCTACACCAGGGTGGTAGTACTATCCGATAAGAGAAGGGAGTGAAGATAGATGTGAAAGGTCTTATGAATTTAGATTGGGTAGGGGAGGAGGGATGAGAAAGTGAAGAGTAGGAGGATGATAGGTAGGTTTTGAGATGAGGTCATTGGGAGGATAGTTCCCTTGATAATAACAGAGTAGTTAGAAAGACAATAAGGTTTGGGGAAAAAAACAATGGGTTCTGGTTAGTACTGTTTTAATTTACATTGTTTTACTAGCTGTGTATGTTATTCTTTTGTATAGCCTTAGACTTTTCAAAATGCCATTATACCCACTGTTTCATTTTAACCTTAGACTTGTCAGGGATGCAGAAAGTTAAGAGGCAAAATGGAAAAACTCCACAATGTAGGACATAGTGATAATCATCATGTTATTAACTTTATATCTTCCCTAGCAAAGTAGATTGCACTTAGTAAGCATTTATTTAATGATAAGTTTTATTAAAAGAATGAGTGAGTGAATAGATCCTATCTTCCTAAGATTTATCTTAACATACACTCATGTAAATTCCATATTAAAATATGTTTCTCCCTTTCAACCCTTATCCTCAATGGATCAGATCTGAGGTATTGAGGACCTTAACAAGTAGTTGATTTTGAAAGTAGTAAGAGTTGTATCTAATTACTTAACTGTTAATACTTTAAAAAAAATTTTTATTTTTTTTTTTATTTTGGAGGCAATGGGGGTTAAGTGACTTGCCCAGAGTCACACAGTTAGTAAGTGTCTGAGGCCAAATTAGAACTCAGGTCCTCCAGTGCTCTATCCACTGCACCACCTAGCTGCCCCTGTTAATACTTTTACAGAAATAATTTCAATGACTCTCTGGGAAAATATACTCATCCAAGTGCTATCATCATCTCTTTTTCCTTCTACTTTTCCTATAGCAACTTGATTGCTATATTTAGTATTCTGTAGCCAGACCATAACCCTCACTCACTCTGTGGTGACATTATTCTGCTGATAACATCAACCAGTGACAATCAGCTAGAATTCAGCTCTTATCTTAACAGACTACTCAGATGTCAGATATTTTTCTAACAGAACTATTTTTCTAATGTTACATTAAATCTATGATGCAAAAGCTGTATCAACAGGTTACAAGAGGAAATAAACAAAAAGAGATTGATGAAAGAACTACTGACCTTGAAAGGGGTCATACTGACCCGGTATTAATGGATAGCCCATTCCAACATGTGTGTGATGATGAGTATGAAGATGACGTTGACTAAAAGGGGAGTGACGATCTCGTTCTCTCTCTGCTTCCCGCTCACGTTCAGCTACAGCCTTTTCTATAGGCTACCATGAGAAAGTGAGAGAAGGAAAAAAGATGACATGGTATTTTTCTAAAAACTTGTCATATAGCAATGGTACAAAAACTTTTGCTCCTGTTAATGTTTATACATAATAAAGTAGATAGATGCAGACTTAAAGATTATTCCTTGAAGACAAAAAAATGCCACTAATTTTGTTTACTGTATGTCTTTCCTTATCATTCTAATGACTATACTTACATGCAATTACAACATGGTCTATCATTCAACAAGTCAAAATGGGTAAAATTACTTATGAGTGGCCCTTAAACAACCAAATATCAACCTTGTTTTACATATTATAAAAAAATGAAGATAAGGAAACAAATAATTTTTACAAATTTATACCGTGGAAATTTTCAGGAAACACAGACTAATATTTAAGAATACTCTCTAACCTCTCATCCTATGTAGCATAAATGTTTATTCAAGACATAATTAACAGAACTCACAGAAAGTAGAAAATTGCAGGAATCTATCCCCATTCATCTGCAGTTACTAAATTATATAACAGCATCTAACTGGATTCTACCAGAGTTCACTTCCACCCTTACATTTGAAAATGAAGGTAGTTTTTAAAAAAAAAAACTGGTTTTGGGTCAAGTTTTCTGATTATACTCATGCTTTCTTTAAAATTGGCATTAACTTATATAAAATCATAAGGACACCAGCTATATTATATTTAACTACCTATGCGACCTTATGAAAATCACTTCACTTACCTGAACCTCAGTTTCCTCATCTGTAAATAAGAGGTTGGCCTAGATGGCCTTTTAGGTCATTTTCAGTTCTAAATCTATGGTCCTATGTATCTTGGTGCTAAAATAAATAAAGGCAGTTTCAGTTTAAGATAGTTGCTAAGTTAAGTCTATCAAGGAAACGCCTACAAAGCCCAGCAACTTGCTTTCAGATTTCCGTGTGTGTGTGTGTGTGTGTGTGTGTGTGTGTGTGTGTGTGTGTGTGTACACATGAAGGCATGTTTTTGGAAGTCAGGCTTCTAAACTGGGCTCTATGAATTTCAGTTTTCACATGAAAACCTTAACCTAGTTTTTTGTGTTTTTTTTAATAAAATGAAATCCTGCTATGGTACATGTCTTTCCCCCTCCTAATGTGAAAAAGCATTTTCATTTGGAACAAAGCATTCTTTATGTATTAGTATAAAAAAAAAATCTTGAATTCAGAGTTGGGCTCCACAACCATTCATATTCTGAAACTCTTTTCTACTTTGTCCTCTTTTCCCCCAAAACATAGCATTCTAAAATAACAACAAAAGGCAGCTTACAGCAGGGGACTTGCTGCGGTACTGGTTGGCATGCTGCTGAAGCAAATCCAGTGCTTTAGATTCAGTGGCTGTTTTCGTGCTGATGCTAGGGCTGGTATTGACTTTTTCCGCCTCTTCTCTCCCTGACATCTTCCCATAAACAGGATAATGAAATCCTGGAGAGAGATAGGCCCCTGCAGGTAAACAACAAATGCCACATCAAGTTACTGGCTGCCTTTTTATTCTCCTTTTGAACATTTGAGTTACACTGATTTGGGATGCAGTTAGAAATTATTGTATAGGGGTTACATTAAAAATGGGACATATCTTCATTTACTTATATCTCAATTTTTCCCCCCATTAATTCATACTGATGAATGGAGGTTATAAATAGAGCTCAGTTTATAGTCATTTCATACATTTATGTGTTCTCTTAAGTGAAAGGAATAGTAACTATAATAGTTCTGACAGTAAGTGCTTAGAAAATTTTTATAGGCAATAAAATATCTGTCAGTCCAACAGTAATAGCAGACTGTCAGAGACTACGGAAACTAGAGCTGGGAACTCTGACAGTTCATAAAAAGAATATCTTGTATTGAATCAGTTTCATCTGTGAAAGTATAATATGAAATCAAGAAAAATAAGTGTCATTTAAGAAGTTCCTAATTTATCCTAAAATTTTAAAAGGTAATAGTGGAACAGAACTTTCACACATACAGTTAAACATGAAAATCTTTTCTCTTAGGATAGAATTCACTTACCAGGATAGCTGTGCATTAGGACAGGAGAGACAGCCCTGTATGCAGGATGATTGGGATCATACATCTGTGGATAAGGATAAGCATGTAAATACTGTATGTATGACTGATGTTGACTCATTGGAGAGGAGACAGCCACTCTGGCCCCTCGTGAGTCCTTCCAGTTTACAGGAGTCTTTCGATCATCATTTTTTATCTTGTTCTCTTCCAGTGATTGAGAATCAGGATGCTTGGCTTCTTTCGGTTCCTCTTTGATACTTGTTAATGACACAGGAAGACCAGGTATCATACTCTCTTTATTAGGTGTTTTCCTTGGGCTATCCTCTTTTAACTTTTTTTCTCTGTCAAGTTCTTCTGACTTCTGCTGATCAAGGTATTTAGACTGGTATACATAATGGTGCCATGTCCTTGAATCCGGATCCTGACAAAGAAAACACAGGGATTTCTAAAGTTAGTTTCAGAAAGGTTCATCAAAATGTTATTGCTCATGTTTCAGCACACCATGTGTTTTCTTTTTACCATATACATTTCATATATCTAAGCTAGTAACAGTAAATGTAGCTACCATTGTGAATATTAGCATCATAAAACTCAATGGTTTCTTATTTCATTTCTTTATTATCTTACTGGAACTGAGATTGAATATACCAATGTCCCTATTAATGTAGAGCTTCATAGTTCAGTATATGCTAAAATCCTAATTATAACAAGATTTCAAACTACCACAAATATCTTTCCAGTCAAAAAACCTAACATATATAACAAAAAGTTATTTGCTATCTTGTGAAAATAATGTTTTTAGCTTTTATAACAAAAGTGAAGCATCTTATAAGAAAGAATTTCTAAACAGCATTTTTCAACCAAACACTAGTAATGCAAATAATCAGTATATATGGTCAAGAAAGTCCTTGAGGAAATCTTAAGGAAGAACATTAAATTCCAACTAAAGTTGAATCTATATTCAATAGGGGAGGAAACTGATGTGATAAAAAGTTAGCTGTTCTCATTCAGTGAAGACCATTTCTAAAGCTCCTTGGGATTAATTTTAAAAAAATCCATAGTACAAAAAAGAACCTTACCACCACCAAATTCAACTCATTGTACAATGAGTAAAATAAGGCCTAGACTTGTAAAGTTACACAGCTAGTCAGTGGAAGACAGAAGACCAAGAAATCAGGTTCCCCTCTTCCCCACCCTCCCACCTCTGCCCCCTATTCCACCATACTGATGGCAAAGACCTGAAAAAATAAGAGCACATTAATCACAGGGCTTCCTTAATAAGCTGACGTGAATGAAAATGCTTTGGTTATTCATATACAATTCCACAACATATGCTTATTTAAGTGAAGTTTCATGACCATTTTTCAAATTTTAGTGAATTTGTTTTCAGGGATGCTCAATAATTTGGCCTTGAGAAAATCTGAAAGGGTCAGTCAGACAGACTTCTCTATCCATTTTAGCTTTAGTGAACTTGATTATACAGTAATACACAGAATATTTTAAATATCACAAAAATAAAAAAGTTGGGGTCCAGGTCCCAAACAGCAGAAATTACATAGTTGAACCCCTGTATGATCTTAAAACAGGAAATATCCTTGAAAGGAAAGGATATACAGGGGCAAAGTCTACCAATTCCTGGTAAATGGTAGTGGAAATTGCAAAATTTAAAAGATCAAACATTTGGCCATCTAGTACAAGTCCCTCGTTTTACAAATGAGAAAAATGAGACTCAAGAAGACTAAATGGCTGAAGAATTACTGAGCTGTACTAGAATCCAGGTCTCAAGTCCCATACCAATGCTGTAGAAGAAAATTTATTATCAGGCGAATCATAAATTTCTTTTAAATTGAAAGGACTTCAAAGATGCTCCAATAAAATACACGATAAAATGTTAATATACTTTTTATAGAACTAAAAGGACTTCAGAGATTCATTTAATATATATATATATATGCATATATATATGTATATATGATATTAAAACATTTAAAAACGCTTTTTAAGGAGAAAATTAAGGAGGGGAAATCCTTAGTGTTTATAGAACAAAATGCATAATCAGATTAAGCCTAGGAATGTACAATTCTCAGATTGCTCTCTATGTCTAGGGCCATCTTACTTGTTTAAATCTTGTGGTTGGGTCTACACCTGTCTGCTTCATGGTATCCATGACAGATTTCATTTCTACAGCCTCCTTAATAAGCTGGTGATTTTCCATCTGCTTAGCTTTGAAGCTGTCGGACTGAAGCTGCTGCTGGTGATTGGACAGAATCTGTGATTTACCTGTCTCCTCAGTTTTATTAGGCAATGCTGGCCCAAGTTTAGTATTGTTTTTGTTAGGCTCTGGAGTAGTAGGAGCTTTAGAGATGGTGGCAGATGGCATATTTTTCTGTTTACTTGGGTCCTCCTTGCCCAGTTCTTTCAAAGGGAGTTCATTTTTTCTCTCACAGTCTCTTCCAGTTTGAGCTATTTTCTGTTCTGCCAACCTCTGGTCCTCATAATATTTCTCATACTGCTGTCTGTAAGCAGGATTAGTAGCTATTAAGGACTTCTGGTCCATATAGAGGCCATAGGCATACTGTCCATAATAAAGTGATTGGGCAAGTGCAGGATGTCTTTGAGTTATTACCGACTGATGTTGAAGTGGTAAATTAGAATTGTTTTCCATTTTCTTAGAATCTAATGGCTCTGCCTTGTCTTTTCTTTCCATTTCTTCTTCAGACTCCTTTTTGATCTTCATTCCCTGTGTGTAACTACTGTTCCCAGCTCCAGGGGTGCTGACTTGGCCTGAGTGCATATAACTTGGAGAATAATAAGTATCGTAGCCATGGTAATAGGGAGAATGGGACTCTTTTACTTGGGATGATTGTGCTGTAGCTGAAGAATGCCCTTTTACAACACCGTCCTTACTCGAAATAATATCTGAAGGTGAACTGGCCTTTGACCTCATGCCCTCTGACCTGCTGTCAGAACCACCATCATCAGCAGCATCTGATATATCAGAATAAGCAGGGCTATTTGTTTTAGTAGCTGAACTTTCTGCCCCATTTTGTGTCAACACATGCAATGGTGGCATAGGAGACTGTCCATTCACCAAAGGGTTACATTCCATTCTGGAAGCACTGCCTATAGAAGGGCTGGGTGCATTGTCTGTGAAAGTGTAAACCTTATCAGCTTCAGCTTTAATACTTGCCATCCTGCTCTCTTGAGATTCTGACAGACCATTAGCTAGCACTTCATTCTTGCTGAGATGGTCCTTTAAAAAATGTCCAGATAAATCTTTCCCAGACCCCTTTGTGTCCTCAAGCTTTCCTAGCTTCACATCCATTTTAGGGCTTCCTGACTCTTTGCTTTCTTTATCTTTTGCCTTTCTCTTTTCCTTTTTCTTTTTGTCTTTGAGTGATGTGAGAGCTGGGTTTATAGTGCTTGGCTCTCCCATAACTGTGGGCTTTGGTTGAATAGGTTTTAAAGGAGGACTCTTTGGTGTAGCCTGAACAACAGTGGTTGTGAGTGAGGGTAATCCTGATATTGACCCTGTAGTGGTAGTTGTAAAGGCTGCAGTAGGAATAGCTATCAATTGGGGAGGAGTAGGAGCTGGAGCAGGAGCAATAGGTCTGGCAGTTTTAAGTTTTGAAAGGTTTTTGTCCACTTTGCAACTGTTAGCTTTTTTGCTCTTATCTTTATCTCCTGAATTTTTCTTGTCTATTAATCCCTCTGCTTCCAATTTGGGCATTTCAGTAGCCAAACTGCCATCTGTTACTGAGCAACTATCCAATGTGGCTGACATATTAGAGATCACTGGAAGGTTACTGAGTTCATTGTTAAGGCCTTTCTTTTTGCCAGAATTCTTGCCAGCTTTAGAACTGATAATTGAACTTGGACCATTATTAATCAATTCTTTTTTGCCCTTGGGTGTCCCAGGGGTGTTTACAGAGCTAGGGGATGTTGGTGCTTTTAGTGGATCGAATGTTGATATATTTGTGCTTGGCTCATTGAATTGAGAAGCCATGGTACTCAACGCTTCCTCACAATCTGAAATTTTGTCCTCGTTCTCAGGCTCAAATTCCAGTTTGCTTTCTGGATCTAAGTGTGCATGAGCCTGGTGGTACCGCAGTCCATTAATGTGCTTGTACTTTTTGTTACAGTTTGGGTGTGGGCAATCAATTAATACTGGAGAAGAGCAACCTTGGTCCAAAAAAGTAGTCTCTGGTTTCCCCTGAGGGGTGGTTGGAGTGCTTCTAGAATTAGTACGAACACGCTTTCCAGACTTATTGTCCTCTGAACTGGAGTTCAAATCCAGTTCCATTGGAGGCTTATTTTTTCTCTTATTGGTTGAAGAGGGACTGGCTTTGACATCTTCAATAGCACAGTTTGGAGGTGTCCTGCGTCCACTTGAGTTAAGGTTACCCCTCCTCCCTTTTCCATTAGCACCACCTCTGTTCTTGTTCTGTAGCCCTCTAGCTTCTGCAAAGCTAGCATCATTTCCTGGTACAGTTGCTGCAGACCTTGCTCGCTTCCCTCTTCCTCGACCTCCTCTCATTTCCAGATCACTTGTTGGTGACTCACAAAACCTAGGCAAGCGAAAGCAACAAAAGTGAAAATTAGGTAACACAAAGAAGGTACCTGTTGTACTCCAGTCATCAACAGTATTTGAATCACAAGGGCAGCCCATTTCTTCCACTGGTAATTTCACCAGGTGGGATAGAGTCTGCCATCAAAGACTTTTTTTTAAGAAAACTAAGTAAAAACATCTAAAGTGACATCAAATTCAACTTAAATCTGCATAAAATGGAAAAGCATTAAATAACGTGGAAATAAGGTGCAGAGAAATCTCAACAGCTATGTTTTTAACTTGTGTGCAGAATTGTTAATTTCTCTTCCTGCTTTCAAAATAATATTAATTTGCATAGTTTCCATTTAGGAAGGAAAGGGAAAAAGGAAAAAAGAGTATTTAAATAAACTGTTTCCAGTTACCTTGGGGGTGCCCAATCATGCTTTGTGCAATCCAGCAGTGTGCCCACGTAGGTCTTATTCCTCCATGTGACATTTACCACTAAGACACCTGTAGTTGGGGGAGGAACGTAGAATTATCACAGTTGGTACAAAACTCCTGTTTTCATTTTTAATTGATTTTTATGAACACAGTGCTATTCTCATTTTCTTTTAACAGGCCACTCTTTCTCATTTTTGGTTTCAATGATCTTAAAACCCACAGGAAATTATCTGTGTGTGTGTGTGTGTGTGTATGAATGAATAAGACAGAATATGTGAGAGTGTAATCATATCTCTCTGCAGACAGAAGGTAATCATTTTTGCCATGTCCTGCTATAAAACGGCAACACTCACCTCTTAATTTTTCTATTACATTTAATTGCTTTCTTTTGGCAGTCAGCCAACATAAACTGAGTGCCAGTTACCAGTGTTTAAATCAGAAGACTGAAAGTAATGTTTTTTTTTCTCTCAAATCAATAAAATAAAATATTTTATTCCTCCCTGCCACTAAAAGTATGGGAAAGTAGCCACCCAGAATAGGTCCAAAAGCATTCAATTATCAATGTTCTCTTTCAACAAAGTGCTGTTTATTAACAGACTTTCTCTGAGATAACAATGAATCCAAACTGAGGTGAGTCCAAATCAGTATTTGGTTCTGTTTTACATAAAGTTGTCCTAAAATAGTACTCAATAAAAATAAATAAATAAATTTAAAAAGAAAAGATCAAAACAGCTTTACTTTCAGAATTATTCCTGGTAGAATCAATCTCAGAATGTCTGTCACAAAGGATTTAAAAAAAAAAATAAAAATACCCCACCCCAAGTCTCTCCCCGTGCCATTTCCTATGAACTATTCTGTTTTCACCAACTCTGCCTTACAGATGATTTAATTTAGTGCTGCATCTGTGAACTGCTAAATTTGACTGCTTGCCAAATGTTACTGGGAAGCATAAAATACATGATGCACTTTTCATTTCTCCTCTAAATTTACTGAACAAAAAAAAATTACATTCTCTAGCCTACCCTAAAAGCACCCAATATTTGAGCTAGCAGATAAAATTCTTATTCTCACAGAATAAAAGCATTTTTTTAAGTGTTTAAGTATCCATTGCTTTCTATAGATAGCTTCCACTTCCTCTTGGAAACAAACATTGGGGCATTATTAAAACCTTATTCTGTTTGGTACTTAACAGTGTTAAATCTGTGATTTCTCATCTGTTCTAGATAGCAGCATCAAGGTAACCTAAGCTTACAAACCAGGTCATCACATAACTAGAGGAGAGATTTCTTAAAAAAAAAAAAATTATCAAAGTAGAATTGAAAATTGTTTCCCATAAGAATTGTATTGCTATTACTTAGGGGACAGCTGAATTCTATTCACTCTAGCAAGTCTAGCAGACAAAATGATAATAAAAAACAAGCCTTTCTTCAATGACGGTTGAGGCAACTGCATTTCCCTTAGGAAATAAAAGATCCGACAATATTAAATTAATATTGAGATCTGAATCGACAATTGAGTATTTAGTAAGAATTTGCACAGTGTAATCTAGTTGAGGGAAACGATATTTTATCATTTTAAGATCTCCACACACACATATTTCCTTTCTAGGGAAAAAAAAAGGTTAAAGAAACCGAAGGGGAAGATTGATTTGTTTTTCACATTGTCTCCTCTAGGGCACTGTATGTGATGTCAAAGACCTTTCCAGCTGCTTAAAATTCTTTAGCATGCCAGCTATATTTACTGCTGAAGAATACATCTGCATCGCCAGAGGGTTACTGCATTTTAGCTTTAGATGCAATAAGCTGAGTCACCGAGTTCCAGAGGCCCCAGTGTAGTACAAATGTATAATTAAAAATGCTTGAAAGGAAACATGAAAGAAACAATAAATGCTCCATTCTTGAAGTAATAAAATTAAAAACAGGAAAAGTCTGCACAAACACTTAACATTTGCCTGCGCCAAAAGGCTTTTGTTACTGGTTTCTCCCTATGGGTTTCACGTTTCCAGCAAAAAAAAAAAAAAAAGGTTTGGGATTGGTTCTCTCTTTCTGGGAACACTAGTATCTGATTGGCTGGATTGAGCACTGCAGTAGAAACCTCAAAAAGCAAGAGCCTCAGATAAATGAGCTTTAAAAAGGGAGGGGTGAAAGAATGTAATACACCAGAGGACTGAGCATGCAAAAGGGTGAGACAGAGTGAGAAGGAAGAATATAGAAATAGAAACGGTTTTTATCGAGGAGGAATAATCCCAACAATGAGAGAGGGTTGCCTAATGCTTCCTGAGTCAGTAAATCAAACACTGGTTTGTTTTCAATAACAAAGACTGTCAGTGAGATGAAAGGTTATTGTCTGCTAAACTGTGTTGTGTTTATACACTAAGACCATGCCACCGAGCTTTTCAAGATAACATTTAAACCTATTCAGGACTGTAAGAACAGAATGTGTTGTAGCAAAACAGGATAAAGAGGAGTTTGGGGGCTGAGAGGGAGGCAAATGAATTCCAAAACAAGTAGTAAATCATAGTTTATCTGTGGCTGTGTTTGAAGCGACAATAGCTGGACTGAAGATGAAATCACCATAGTAAACCATTCAAATCTCTCCGTGCTATTTTTAGGAGCCAAACATAAGCAAATGCCCTCCAAAAGAATAAACAAATGAACGTTTTATTTTTAGAATTTTTAAAAAATTTAAAAAAATAAATCATGTATGCAAATAAAGCTCAATTCCAATTTCAAAAAGACCAAGACTCAGCTCTTGTTTTCTAGAAGTCATGTTATTTCTTGGGGTACTTTTTTTATTTTAACAGTAGCTATCCACAATGGTTAATTAACCATTTCCTTCTGCTTGCTTTTATTTTTCGTTGTGTACATGACAATTGAGAATACTGCACAATATATATGTGTGCTTAAAATTCATGTAAATAAAAACATATACAGATGTACACGTTCAAGTTCCTAGAGTGGAAGTAAATAACTCAAGTTTTCTCACATAAATTCTACCGTGTTATGTTATTAGGTAGGAAGACTTATGTCCAAATAACATGGGTCACAGAAAGTCAAATAATTATGTTGCAGCATGTTTTGGTTCAGAGAGGGAAAATGGATTATCATGTCACTGAAGGGCTGAAGTCTTGTAATATCTTGTAACCTACAGACATTCAAAATAACCTTTAAAAAATGAAAATGTTCAAATTATACAAACTGCAAAGAAAATATCTTTCCTAGACAGGCCATTTCCCATTAGCTAAGATGTAACCCTAATACTTATCACAGTGCTTGGCACATAGTAAGTGCTTAATAAATTCTCTTTCATTTACTGCATTCAACAATGAAATATTAAACTGTTAAAACTAGAAAACATAGGGTATGTGGAGGAAAGAAGGTCCTGCATAAATGTAAACAGCAAGGATGGTGAAAATGTTTGCTTTCCTCTTATATATGGCTTTATAGTGTTACTTTATTTTCTTAACTACAGGGGAAAATTTACTGCTAAATAGTTATTTTTTAAAAGAACACAAACAGTATAATGGTAAATCAGACTTAGGAATATGAAGAAAGATAAGGCCCCAGCTGAAGAACAGGACCTCACAATAAGAAGAGATATCATACAATACAAAAAATTCTCAGTGGCAGTATCAATCAGATGAATAGGTATTAACATCTTTTGAAGATGAAGGCAACTGATATTTTAGTAATTATACTATAACTGGGATTTTTAACCTGGGGATCAATTAACTTTTTTTTTTTAATTTGATAACTACATTTAAATATAATTAATTTTCTTTGGAATCTTTTGTATTTTATTTTATGCATTTAAAAAACTACTCTGAGAAGGGGTCCACATAAGCTTAACTAAACTGTCAAAGGAGTCCAGGACACACACACACACTCACACACACACACACACACACACACACACACACACACACACACACACCCCATTAAGAATCCCTGCTACGGAGGAAAGTAGAATTATTCATTGTAGATTAGAATACTACTTTGTTGTTCAGTTGTTTCAGTTGTGCCTCGCTCTTTGTGACCCCATTTGTGTTTTTCTTGGCAAAGTTACTGGAGTGGTTTACCATTTTCTTCTCCAGCTCATTTTACAGATGAAGAACTGAGGCAAACAGGGTTAAGTGACTTGCCCAGGGTCACACAGCTAGTAAGTGTCTGAGGGCATATTTGAACTCAGGAAGATAAGCCTTCCTGATTCCAAGTCCACTGCTGTATCAACTGTACCACCTAGTTGCTCAAAATAGTACTTACGCTTACATTTTAAAATTTCCACATAAAAATGGCACATTACTTCATTTTCTTTCATGCTCCAGCTCTGACAGTTTCTATCAGTTTTTGGAAATTAAATTAAGAGAAAGCTCATCACCATGGTTTGGGCTACCAAGTAATGAAGATTTTTGTATACAACAATTCATAATCAACTATCTCCTCAAGTGTGGAGAAATTACAATTGCTGTCAGCCAGTGACTACCTACACTGATGAAATCTTGGCTCCTTAAAGTATTTTTTTAAATTTTTTTTTATTATGTACTTAACTATATATATATATATGTATATATATATACACATATATATGTATATATATGTATATATATACAAATATACAAAGAACAAGAAAGAGGGATTATATTTATAATACTCTGAAAAATTTATCACACTATTTTTTGCAACACAGAGGCCATTAAAATTGAAATACCCCCACAATTAACGTGGAGTCAGTTTCATCTATATTTCTATTTTTAAAAGAAGAAATATACTTTTGCAATTATAGTACCTAAATGGGCATTTTAAAAGGGTGGTAAAGTGTTTCATGGCAAATCTGGGTAATAAAACATAAGATTCAAAAGTTTTAAAAGATGGAAAAAATTTAATGTGCCTTAAAGCCTTAAATTATAGCACTATTTCAAACTATAAGTATAAACTGGCAAGAATGCTTGAACAGATAAGACAGAGATGCCTGTTAACTAATAACAGGTTGTTCTTAACTGACATTTTCTGTTTTCAAAAGTTATTCACTATTCAGATGAGTACTATAAAGAAAGCAACTAGATTACTGGA